TTCTCCATGACATTGTTCTAAAAATGTGAAGCTTCATTCTCACGCTGCCACGACTCAGAGAAAACGTAAAATTCTGTTTCTCACTACAAAAAAAGTCATTTTAAAAATATGACTTGTTAGCAGTAGAGTGGACATTACCATCATAAAACTGTTGAAACTTGCCTTAATATGTAAACAGTAAATAATTCTTTACCCAGTTTTGAGTTTCCAGGTCAAGTCCCAGCATTTATTTTTGTTTATTTATTAATTAATTTATTTTTTCTGTTGTTCTGATCAGAGTTGTGTGTGAGATTGGACCTGCTGATAAAGCTGACTGGGGACAGGTTGAGATCGAGGTGAATGGAGGGAAGAGAGGAACCTCCTCTGTTTCCTTCACCTACAGGGTAAATGCATATACACACAAACACACTCACAAACACACACATACACACTCACAAACACACACATATACACTCACAAACACACACATATACACTCACAAACACACACGTATACACTGTCCTCAGCTACACGTCATCTGTTGAGTTGTACAACTTCTTATTGAGAAATTAAACTCATCCAAAAGCTTTCAGCTGATTTTGTTGTTTTATGGACTGTTTTATGTTTTCCATTTATTAGCTCCACAGAAACTCTTATCAAAACATAACAAGGGCATGACAGTTAAGAAGACTGACCAAACATGCTAAATGTAACAGTAAATTAGGCACCTAGATGCACATTGCTGTGGTAATTTACTGTACAGTAAGTCAAAATGTGCAGGCATTCCTCTTTAACCAGATGCTGTGCAGCCGTTCCCTTTGTCACTTTAATACTCTAAGAGGCTACAGCGTAGCTATTTAACTGGCTTTTCATATCTCTGGCTCTGCTAAAGCTTCCCCACAGGGGAGTGCTCCTCCTAACTGTTTGCTCAGCAAATTGAGGCAGATGTGGTGCTTGTGGGAGTTTGTGTGTCTGAATGTTTCTGAAAGAGTGGGTCGGGTTAGATCAGGCTGAGAAGCAATGTTTCTGACATGGAGCTGTATCTGTGTGTGTTATTCTTGTGTGTGCCAGCATCTGCCAGTAGTTAGTGTGTACTTGAAATATGAGTGTGTATTAAGGTGGTATTTGGTGACACCCTCTCCCCTTCATTAGGACCCGATGCCTGAGGAGGTGATGCCAAATAGAGGTCCTAAAGCAGGGGGAACCCTCATTACAATCTCTGGACTATTTCTGAATGCTGGCAGTAAGGAAGATGTCCAGGTTACCATCGGAGGGGTGAACTGCAGTGTGTAAGGATTTCTTTTTTACAATAATTCTCATTCAGACCAAACTTTTTCAATTCAGCCTCTTCAGTTAATAGAGCTACTTGTTATTCAGACATTTAATTCTATGCAAATTCTGCTTTGCGCACATTTTGAAGTCCATAAATTGATTTTTTTATATATGTGTATATTCTTGAAGCAAAAAATTGAATTGACCTAAACTTTAGTGTCACAATGAGGAGGGAGTTTTTTCTCTTACAATTTTCCTGTACTGTTGTGACCACCAGTGCTCTGTCAAAACCGATTCACGGTGACATTTTAGGCAGAGGTAACGGAAAAATAACGAGCAAGAGAAGCAGCAAAGACAGATTTTAACAAGCTGTCAGCCTGCTGCCATGTTGGCTTCCACTGCACGGTGACCTTGTGCCACCCCCACTCCTTCAGCCAGCGAGTACTGAGCTATGTCCTTGTCTTGGCAGGGAGCACTTTGGAGAAAATATCACCTGCAGGACAGGAGAATACCGCGTGGATAAAGTGCCCTCTGACCCTCTCGACGTCGTAATGAAGTATGGAAAGAGAACCACAAAAAGCATCCCGGCTACCTTTCGGTTTGTTGAAAACCCCACTGTGCAGGATCACCAGCCCAAAGCAAGCTTTGTCTGGTCAGTTTAACACAGCAGTATGCAGTCATGGTGTTTGTGACATTCACTCTATCTGTTTGTTACATGTTGTACTTTTACTGCCTTCATTTTACCTGCAGGGCAGGATGAAAGTTCAGGGGATAAATGTGTATGTTGTTGTCCTATTTTCATCCATTCAGACTATTGATCTCCTCATACGAATAATATGACCAAGTACTAAATGCATTCTGTACCTACATACAGTCTTACAGAGTAGGTAGGATCGAAAATTTGCTCACTCTCCCTACAGTGACTGACATTGTTATTTTCAGAGTTCATATTTCTGAAATCTCTAAACTTCAGTGTTTAGAGATTACTGTCTCAATGGACAGAAATAAGAGAATAAGACACAGGCTGAGTTTTGCTTTTGAATATGTCCTTTAAAATAGAAATAAGAAAGCTTCTAAGTTGACATTGTTTTTGATCACAATTCTGCCGCATGATTAGAAACACTGACTAGAATGATAATCATTAAAATTACCACACGTGCATTTTAAGAACCCCGCCTGTCTTCCCTTAATTCTCTGTGTGTGCTTGTGCTCTTATTTTTGTGTGGGTAGGAGTACAATTCCTTAATATGCATTTTCCTGTGTTTTTGGTGTGAATACATATGTTTGTGTGCGTTTTAGTGGAGGGAGGAATATTGTGGTAACTGGCACCAGGTTTGACATAATCCAGACTGCGATCATGAAGGTCCAGGGACGTGACTGGTCATCTTCAGAGGTTCCTGTTCATTTTCCTCATCTTCCTCTGAGTCAATGCACTGATCCACCTCTAAGAGTCATAATTTCTTAGATTTGTCCTTACTCTTTCTATTGAATGTTGTAATGTTGTATTAAATGTCGTAATCAAAACCTTACAAATTTCTGACATATAACAATAGAAATGCAATTTATGTGACTACTCATTTGGCTCGTTAACATATAGAACATACATCAGAACAGAAAAGTTTGCTTTATTATTTTTATTGCTGCTGCATATTTTCTATGGTGTAATTTCCTTTATGACATGTCATGCTTGTATTTTTTTATGTCCTTTTGTCACAATTTACTGTCCCTCTATTACACAACATACTCAGTTTGCCCATGAGAAGAACGCCACAGTCATCCAGTTTCAGTCTCCAACAGTAAACGGCTCCGCAGACCAGCACTTGAAAACAGTCATTAAGCTGGACAACTGGGAGAAGGAGCTGAAGCCCTTTTTCTACCACCCTGACCCCAGCTTCAATAATCTACAAAACAAGATCATCACTGCGAACAGCATAATTATCGTTACTGTGAGTACAGCCATGAGGTCGCTTTAATATAGTTCTAGTACAATGATTTGTTTTGGTTTTGTTTTTTCTGTCATAATAGAAAATAATAGAGAAAAAATAACAGAGAAAATCCCAACCATCAGAAAACCCTCTATGAGCAAGCACTTGGCGACAGTGGGAAGAAAAACTCTTTTAACAGGAAGAAACCTCTGGCAGAATCAGGCTAAAATCCAGAGAGGTGTACAAACATATAGTGCATGAAAAAAAAAAGAGTGACGAAGAAACACTCAGTGCATCATGGGAATACCCAGCAGCCTATGCCTATTGCAGCATAAGTATGGACTGGATTCAGAGTCACCTGATTCAGCCCTAACTATATGCTTTATCAAACAGGACAGTTTTAAGCGTAATCCAACAAATCCAAACGGTGAGCTGGTTCCACAGGAGAAGGGCCTGAAAACCGAAGGCTCTGCATCTCATTCTGCTTTTAAATAACCTAGGAACTACAAGAAGGCCAGCGTCTGAAAGTGAAGTTCTCTATTTAGGTGATAAGGTACTGTGAGTAAGATAAGATGGGGACTGAATATTAAAGACCTTTTGGAGGATTTTAAAGTTTTTTACAATAGATGCTTACAATATTTATCTTTTTCTTTACTTTTGGTGTATAACAGCTCATAGCTGTCATACAGTACACCCATTCCCACACATTACTCATAAAGTGCTGCTGATAAGGTTTTCAGTGCTCATTGTATTATCTGTCTAATTAACTTCAGTCACTGCCCTTAGAGCCTTGGACTCACTCTTCCTCCTGCAGGGTCGGGGATTCTCCAAAGCCATGACAGCAAAGGAGGCTCAAGCCTTCGTAGGTGACGTTCAGTATGTGGTCTGCATCCTTCAGGATGATAAGCTGTTCCTGGACACACCTTCCAGCCCACCTCGTGCTCACTCCACACAGGTGGATGTAAAGGTCAGGCCACAAAAAGACAAACGGATGACACAATGTTATGGAGGACATGGTCCAACTGTTTTATTTCATTGAAAGTTCTAACAAGCTACAACGCTCTAACGTGACTTCATAAATAAAGGCAGTCCTCTGAAAATTTAAAAATATGGAAGTATCAAGAGAGTGAACTTTAAGTACCCAGTTTAATTTATTTTTTTCATTTCAAAAACCTTAAGCTCCCGATTTAGCAGAAAGTTACGTTCTATCCCTACTCCAGTATCTTCCCGTCTTTACCTTTGGTAAAATGTGCAGCGCTTGTGTAAATAACAAGATTTCCACTCTTTTGTTTCCCACAGATCAAGTTTGGGAAAGGGGTGTGGGTGGTTGGCTCAATGGAATTTGAGGACAAGGATTATTCCCTCTACATGATCATCCGTATTATTCTTCTGGTCACCCTGGTCACCATCACTATCTCTGTCTACTGCGCCACACGAGCTCAGTTGTTTTAGGTTTGTTTTAAGAATCATATCATATACATATACATAATCATATCATATACTGTGTATTCATCTATCCCATCTATTTATCTATCTGGCCAATATATATATATATATAACATGATAAAAACATTTGCTTACAGTAGCACTTCATTATTATAAGAATTATTCACATTGTTTTACGCATTAAAAATATGTTTTTGATCTTTTTGCCTTTTTAACTCTTGTAACGTTCCATACATTCAGCGCTTTAGAGGCAAAGTGCTTCTGCTTTAATACATTTAATAAACTAAGAGACAATTCATATCTCCAGTTTCTTTCAAATATCTGTTTCAACTGGACTCTCACTTCTCATCTTTTTTGTACTTTACTAGCTGTTTATAAATAAATGATTAAGAAATGACCTTAAATTATTACAGATCACTGCAGAGATCTGTAATAATTTGAGAGGATTGCAGTTGGTCTGGGCCACCATGCCTGTTGACCAGCTGCATACTGATACTAGCATACTGATGTTGGCACTGACTACCACTAGAGGGCGACTGTGTTAATCAGTTCTTTGCAGTCACATCATTTAGCCAGACGCCTTCTAGAGATCAGAGGCCGTAACAGCGTCATTACTACATCTAAGAGTCAAATTCAAACCATAATTGTCATTGCATTCCTGATTCAACAATTTTACCTGCTTTTTCTAAATTTAACACATTTTAGCTTACAGCTAAAACTGGTCATCATCTCTGCACAGTAAACCAGAAGGATTACTCCAAGTGTGAGCACCCTAAAAAGTATACAGCCTCGCAAGTAACAAGTAAAAGCATAAAAAAGCTGAATAACCATCAACAGTTACTTTGCACTTCACAGAATATTACCTTTGGGTTTATATAAAACCTAAATCCTCTCTCAGACTCACATATAACAGTCTTCCAACCACAACAGTAAGTAGCAGCACTAGTTTTTTGTAGCTTGCATCAAAAATCCAGCTTACACCTGAGAGTGTTGAACAGTCTGTACGGTACTGTAGTACTCAACCGTACTTCAGTTTTATTAGCAGGCAACTAATTATGCTTCAGAATCAAATATTAATATTTTGTACATTTGGATCTCAACCCCCCCACTAAATGTGAACTAAGCTTATCTGTAGTGATATAAAATGGAATACAAAAAATAAAATAGTGCTTCTTCCACCACTACTAACTGTGTCCAGTAGGATCAGTAGTCTGGATCTGTTCACTTTTGTTTTGGTAGTAGGAGTCAACCACTAGAGGGAGACGGTGTTACTGTAATCATTGCAATCACAACATCTTGCAGAGGAAAAGACTCAAAGGAGAGATAACAGCTTTATTACCACTTTTACAAGTGGAAGGACAAAAAAAGAAAAATAATATTTCAGATTTTTTTGTTCATACACACACTGTGCCGATTCTCTCAACAATTTTAATTTCTCTTCCTTCTCAAAAAAACTTATGCTATTAGCTTTGAGCTAAAAAGAAGTTCTCATCTCTGTACAAAACCAGCAGCAGTAGTTATTGAATGTGTGAGCGCCCTGAAAGCACACAACATATTTAAATCTTGTCAAAATATGTGAAATCGCAATGTGCAGCACAAAAACCTGTCAAAGCAAATAAAAACATAAACAAGTTCAATAATTATAAACTGTTGCTCTTTGTACGTCAAAGAAATTATCTTTGGGTTTGTATAAAACCCAAATGCTCTCTCATACACACATATTACACATGACTTAAAAACAACAGTAAGCAGCCACTGCATCAACAGTCCAGTTCATGCCTGAAGGTGTCGTGGTCTCAGTTAAACCAGGTCGTGTTAAGCTGCGTCTGTTTCTTGATGCTGGTGTCCAGCTTGAGGACTTCTCTGATTGCCATAGTAGCGTAGGTCGATGGAGGCAGCGAGAACTCCATCCGCAGAGCGCGATATTTCCCCTCTGTCAGGAGGAAGGAGAGTGGCACAGTTTATGCAGGTTGTAAACAAAACATTATTTCTTCTACTTTAACTAGTAAAATAAATAATTCATGCTTTTGATTGTTGGATATCATACATGTCCTCCATTTATTATTGTAGTTCATTCAAAATCTGCCCTTGAAATGATCTCATATTGTAAGTTTTATTGTCAGTTTCCCTTTTAAATAAACTGAGTTTATGCATACTTGACTTATGCCTGCAAGTTTAAAACTTTTAATCTATGGAAATTAAATAAAATTTTACATCCATCGTTGACACAAATCTAAACAGGCGTAAAAATAAGTTTACCTTTGTTGAAGACAGGTGCGGGTTTGTTCTCTAGTTTCTCAAAATCACTATGCACCAGAGACACCCTGGGGTCATCGTAATTAATGACCTCCCTGCACAGAACAGCGACAAATACAAGGAAATGTAGTACTACAGTAAACAGAGCAACAGTTTAACAAAGCATTCAGTAAGAGCAGTACACAATTAATCTATCACTACCATTATGTTTAACTGTGAAAGAGCAAAGCACAACAGTAATTGTGATTGTTACAAGTCATGCACTGCATTGTGTGAAAAAGGCAATGAGAGGTGCTGACCAGCTGACATCAGCGGGTCTGATGATGATGCGCCTGTAGGCTCCGGCCAGAGAGTAGTCCTTCACTTTGTGCCTCATGTTGTCGATGTCCAGCCCGTCTGCAGTGAGCAGCTCTCTGTAACCTTCTCCGACTAAAACAAAACACACAGGTATGACTGACAGTGTAACACAAAACAAAACAATTTTCTCCTCTGCTGTAAGTTTATTTAATGTTTTATGTCAATTTTTATTTTATTGAACCACTCAGACTATTCCACCGGAAGCACCCGTTACTTTGTTATACAGGTGTTACCATCTTAAATACATTAGTGTTAAAATAACCCAATGTTAACTTGGGTTATATGCTATAAAAACTCAACTCTGCATTATACATAGCCTATACTTACTGTGGTGTGTGGGGTAAATGACATCAAACCCTGGAAGTGGCATCACAATGTTGTGGATGGATTGATTCTCTGCCTCCTCTGCAGACAGCACGTGTGCCGTGGCTTTGGAAACATAACATTTGGAAGATGATATCATAAGAAAGAAAAAAAATGACCAGCTGTTTTTTTGTTGGAACCTCAATAAGCCTTTCAGGTTTCTAATCCTACATTGCACTTGTGTTTTAATGCATCTGTATCATTCTTATGCTTTTAAAAGGTGGCCTCTCTGTGAGGACAGATTGTGCGTGGCTAAAATGAGCACAGAGCAAGTGTGACCACTACTAAATGTGACCCACCCAACCTGAATTTGTTCAGGATAAAATGTACCCACTCTACATTAACACACTTCCTCTTCCTGAGAAGATACCCAAACATAGACATGTATGTTGATCCTTGGGTGAAAATCACTTTTCAACTCATTTAAAGTTTGCTAACAAGACACTTTGTATCTCATTTACTGACCTGTACAGAATCCAGGTTAAAAGCTACAGTTTACTGTACATATCCCACAGTGTCCCACTCTTAATAATCAACATTAGGCAGGTGATTTAAAGGCCAACTTACTTCCTTTGAGTACCAGGTCTCCCTTCACAGCCTTCAGACCAAAGGCTTCAATTCTGCGGCTCACCATGGTGTTCCACACTCTGCTCTGGTAGCTGTGGATGTACATCAGGCGGTTGTTCCGGGGGATCTAGAGAAGAGCAAAAGAGCGTGAGCACAAAATTTAATTTCCATTGAGGCTAGAGGTACGTCTGAATCTCTGACTGAATTGTTTCATGGGTAACTGTAACTTGTAAACAAGGAAGATTTATTTGCGGAATAATTAAGGTAAAGCCTTCGGTTCTGCTGCATCAACTTGTTACAAGACTGCAATAGAAAACCAACCAGTCCAAATGCAGTGACGATGTTTTTCTTGCCATACATAGACAGGCCTCTCAGCAGCTGTCCTTCCACACAGCGCTTGTTGGGAAGCTTTTTCAGTGCTGCCTCCGGATCCTGAGTCTTTGCCCACTCTTCCCTGCAGCGGACCAGAAATTCTTTCTCCGCTGTAAAAGAAAAAAACGAGACAATGGGAAACTTGAAATACTTTTTGCAACCGCTTCAACTGCAGCAGAAAACAGAGTGAGGGTGGTACATTTACCTCCAGGACGGGGTTTCAGAATCAAATCCATCACCTCATTCCAGTCGTTTTTCAGAATAGCCCTGTCCCCAACAAAGTGAGGGAAAACACTATAGTTTATGGTCCTATAGTTATATAATTTACGCAACAATCTCCATGTCATGACCTCACCTGCCCACGTGATGCGTGGGCACAGCTGTTGTGCCAAAACGCTGCATGCCGTAGTAGTTTATGAAACCTGTCTGCTTGAGGGATTTCATTGCCTGATCAACCTGCTCGTCTGTTCCTGTGATGTTCCTGCAAACACAAAGACAAAAAACAATGAGCCATTGAACACTTTACCCTGAAAAGCAATTTAAAAAAATGCATCATGGTTTTGCAGGACAATTTAACTCCGTTTCCTTTAATCCACCTGGAGAAAACACTTGATCACAGTGAGGACAAAACTTCCCTTTAAACAGGAAGAGACTGCCAATAAAGGTGACCTCAGTTCAAATTGGCAGTTTAACAAATGCCGAGCTTTTAAAATCTATTTCTGAAACAAGCACTGTGTATATTAACACCTGCTGACCTTATCACCACAGTGAAATGGTTTCCCTGCAGTTCCCCCAGCTTTAGAGGGTGATTTTTGTAGCAAAAGTTTCCAAGCTTGAGGTTCATGAGGCACTTGTTGAGGTGAGCCAGCCTCTCTGCAGTGATCCTAAGTGAACAAAGAAGAGGCTGTTATAATTACTGATCCTGTGCAAGAACCCATCAGAGATAAATTAGAATCAATAACAACACACATCTAGCATAATCATCAAAAAAACAAAAAATATCTGCACACTAGTAACTGCAGGGCTCTGCATTATAACACTCACTTGAGCACCGCTATCTCCTGCACAGTAATGGCCCTCTTGTCCTTGGTTCCCATGTAGGAAAACATGTTGGGTCTAAGCCTAGAGAGACATCCATCATTATACATAGGGCTGCAAAACTTAACTGCAAAAAACATTTCACACATCCGTTAGTGTGTTGGCTCTTTTATCAATGAATGATCCTTACTTTTTATAAAACAAACTAAAAAACACACACGTCTCCTACCTGAGGAACTTTGAAAGCACATTGATAGCATCCATGGTGTCTTTGTTCTCCTTATACAGAACAAAGTGGCAGAAACTGCCACGGTTTTTGGGCCAAAAGTGTTTCCTTGGAGCTTTTGTGGAGACAGAAAAATGGTGTGATGAAAAACATGCTGTGATGTTTTTTAATATTAAAACATAGCATGTCCTTTAAAAGTCCCAAATATTATAGAAATACTCATTATAGATCCTGTACTTCCAAACATATCTCAGCAGTTAGCCAACAACCTTGCTTTGGCACTCAGATCCAATCACTTTATTGCAAAACGACATGGACACACGATATTAAAGCTGATTTTACGAAACAGTATTTTATCCTAAGCTAAGTGTAACCCAACTCCACATGGCTTTTAACCATTTCCTCTGGTGCTGGGAGGAGAATAAGTTCTTACCTGTAGTTGTTTTGACTTCTATCCACCAGAGAAGAGCAAAAGGAGGATAGAATAATGTTACTAAGAAAGAGAGTCTTATGGTCTGTGGGTAGAGTTGTCAGGGGTGAGATCTCATGCATGGGCCTGGAGTGAAGTGTGATATCTAAACAGAAGAGCTTTCTTTTGGCCTGTGTGGCTCTGCTAATCTCTACCATCCTTTGTGGTGTTGAGTAAAGGTCTCAGTAGAAACATGCAGGTGTGTTGACCATGCTTACACAAAAGCGCATGCATCGTATTTTACTGCTCGGGCTACATGCACTGCAGTAGATAAAATATAAGCTGAAGTGAGGAAGGCGTGCAATAAATTTCATTAACATTCCTAAAACATTAACTTAGTTTGGCCTTCCATCCTGAGATCCACATACCTGCTAAAGCCTTCTTCCCAGCAGCATGATAAGCCACTATAAACTTCCGCCCTTCCCTCTCTTCAGTCTTTGTTTCCAAACCAGGAAACTGATTCTTGATGGCTTTGTGGACCAATGTCCGTTTCTCTTTAGAATCATCCAGTACCTATAAATGAATAAGAACATTACATAAAGCTGTCAGCTAGTTTTATGGATTTTTGTGTGCTTTTTTATTGGAGCACTCCTTTTAACCTGTTACCTCAATTGAGACATTTCCCTCTTTGTTCTTGAACAGCTGAAGCTCTCCAAGCTGCTTTTTCTGCTCTTCAGTTAGCAGGTCGCATTCTTTTGGCTGTTGTTCAGGTTCTTGGGCTTCCTAAACAGCAGAAAAACAAACCAAAAACCATATTGGAGAGTATTATGTAACCCGATCCTGGAGTCCTCTTTAGTCTTATTTTGTTAATGTAAAGTGTGCCTTCATGATAAATCTGAGGCTTGTTAAAATAGCAGAAGAAGCAAAGTTACCTCAGCCTCCGCCGGGACAGAGAGGTCATCCAAATGCACAATCTTGCCATTTTTGTTGATTTCATGCACAACAAAATCAGAATATCTGAGTGCAAAAAACAAAGAAAGTGATTGGTTACTCTTTGTTAAGCAAACTCCTTAAATCCTTCATTAACTCCAGATGACAAACAAACCTTTCCTTCAGGACTCCAGAGAAGCCTTCGTGGTCACTGACATACTTTAGGATGCCAACATCGAGCTCGGTGAGACCATGCTTCATCATGTTAGCAAATGTGTCACCATCCTCCTCTCCATCACTTGCGTCCCCCTCGGGCTCGTCCATCTCATCTTGCTGCGGAGGACCCCCATTTTCGTGATCGCTCTCAAATTTTGGTTTCTTTGATGGTGCATCATCTTTTTCATCTTCCGGGCACCCTCGCTTTTCTCCAACTGGGACGACGACGGTCACAGGCTCGGATTCAGCCATTAGTGCCCAGCTGGAGCAATAAGGAATTTAGTTAACAGTATGAGCCGCACACATATATAAAACCTGAGTCTCACGGTGTGGTATTTTTGTGTGATTTGTTTTGGGGTTTTTTTTAAACATCAGCTTGCTTGTTTACAGCCCAGCACTTTCTCCTGTTTTAGTCTGAATGGTATGCTTTATTCATTTCATTTTTTAAAAATCAGGTTAAAGAAACACTCCAATATTTTGACTGACGGTTTGGTGTGGTGCAATAGCATGGATGTTGTACCAGTCTGTCACACTGAATCGTGTGTGTGACGCTGTCAATTTACCAAATGCTCTAGTTTCTAATGGCCTCTTTCTGCAGCCATGAACCATGTGTAGTGATCAAAGGAGTGAGCCTACAGATACAACTGACAGAACTGAAGTTTCCTCCAAAGGGTGTGTGGGCTATACCCTTGCAGATGAAATGAGGAGCTCAGGGTAGAGCTGCTACTCCGTCACACTGAAAGGAGCCACCGAAATGCGTTGGTCATCTGAATCGGACGCCTCGTGGACACTACCAAGGCGAGGCGTATTTCTGCTTTGACTGCTGCAGGGACAACCTCAAAACTGTCGAAGTGCAACACTACAGCACGCTTTGTTTTGGTGTGACGCACCAGTCAGATCTGAAGCGTGTGGCAAGATACCAGCACTGATGACATGGTATAACATCAGTACTACAACATCAGTTACCCGTTATTACGTGACTCTACGTAGAAATGGAAAGCACAAAGTATAACTGTGAACGCTACATTTCAGTATCTGCGAGTAACGATAACATAACTAAGTGGGCATTACTGGCCTAGAAAACAATACCAACAACTTACCGTTTGTGGGACTGCGGTAGCGAAATATGGCTGCAAACACTCCTTATTTTCCAAACGCCAAACACTTGCACAGACTTCCTGACGGATCCAAGCTTGAAGCAGGCACTTAAAAGACTAAATGAAGGGGATTAGTTATCACTCAAAACTTAGCAAAGACGGCAGAGCATCTATTAGCTAGCTAACACCCCCAGTTAACGTGTTTGTAAACCTGAACTCAAATGTCGCTGGTAAAAGCAAATAATTAAAAAAAAGGACTTTTGCTCTTCCAAACGTTCCCAGTCACCTACCTGGACCTGGTGATATTCAGAAGAGAGCAGGCAACACTGAACGCCAGGTTTTCTCACACGTGTGTATGTGTGTGTGCTCCTCTGGTTCCGGAAATGGATAATGACCTAAAGCCCTCCCACTTCAAACGCTTGGTTAAAGGAGCTGTCAATCACTAAGCTAGGCTGCGTTCAAGTAACCGTGGGATAACGCTCCAAAGAAACACACTTTGGTATGGAGCCTACACTTCCACACGTCTCTGGGAGCACAGTACTTTATATTCCAGTTAATTAATGAAACAGTCATGGTTTCATGACTGTATTATTCTGTTTATTATTATTATTATTATTGATTATTTTAAAGCGTTTTTTTCACGCAAAACTTGTTGAATGTAAGACACCAGCTAATTATAACCTTTCACTTCAAAGTAATAAATAAATAAATATTAGCTTATCATGTCCAATGTTATATCTACACTATAAAGATCCTGTCTGCCGCGTGATTGTAAAGGTTTGGTCTAAGAAGTACAAAGTCCCCAGTCCTTAGCTTAAGGCTTAAACAAGTGCAAATCTGTGATCACTGAATTGTGAAAGCATATTGGTACCCTATGCTATATGCTTTTTTTTAACACCATGACAAATGCTTTACTGAATAGAAAGAAATGATATTTTTAGGGCTGCTGATTTTTTAAAAAGCAATTGTTTATTAAGTAGGCCTACTATTGAACAATACGGGTCCAGGCAATAGATAGATCAGTACATTTGTGGTTTCCTTTCGCTGGTATTTTCCTTTACAGTTCCTATAAGTCTTATAAAAACAAGTGCAATGCAATCTAAAACAGGCAGCAGCACCAGGTGATGTGTTGTACTCCATAATAACAGCGGCACCGTGTCAGCTCTTTACTGTCACCTTGTGGAACTACGTGTAATTTTTCTTACACCTTTACACCTCTCCTCATGCCTTTACAACACCACACTGCTCACTTGAGTATTCATACACCTTCTCTACTAATAATACTGACTTCCACACTCCATGGTTATCTTATCTTTCACATTGTTTTCATTTCATGAGCTAAAGCCTCATTAATTTTAGTGCTTATTGCGACTCCATATGTAGAATAACCAGTCAAATATGGTTTAAGAGTTCTCTTTAAAATAAATCCTGTCTTTGCTGTAATATAAGAATAACCTTTTATATTTATTCAGCTTTTTTGTTTTGCTTGTTCCCATCTTGAAGTTATAATTCTGCTACCATTTCGCTCAAGAATAGTTTAATAAGAAGTCAGTTTCAGATTGGTAGGACATTATTGTTAGACATAAAGAAGAGGGGGGCTTTTCTGTGTGACACTAACTTCATGTGCAGGCTAAATAACGGCCATAGGTCGTTAGCTTTGTACCATTGCTGAAATTGCAGAAAAATTAGCTTTGAGCCCCAAATTGAAGAGGAGAAAAGATGAAGAAAAATAGTGGTTGTTCTAGTATGTAAGTTAACTGTTTATAAAATGTAAAAAACAATTAAGTAAAGTTTATGATTAGAGAAAGTTATAATAGCATTAGCTTATCTGGGCTAGCTGTCAGTGATAGTTAACAGATTAGCTACTAACTTAAAACTTGTGTTCATTATGCTTTGTTCCAGAACTTCTCTAACAAAGACATCCTCAGGATCAGGACTTTGTCAAGGCACTTTAACAGGCAATGGTTATAACCAAAAAGAAAACCCTGAGGAACAGAAAAGGAGAAATAAAGATCTTATTGGAAAAGTTCGGGTATTTAGCATTAGCTTAAAACTCTTTCTTCATGATGGTGATGCAGGTTCATATCTTAATATCTTAATTTATAGAGATTTCTCATGTAGCCACACATTGCTGGTAAGAAATTACTATTTTGCTATTTTTTTCTTGTTTTTTTTGTTTTGTTTTGTTTTTTGTTGATGGGATAACTAAAAAAAAAATCAAGTTCGTTATCTTAAACTTTGACTCAAGATCAGTCAGCATTTTAAACATTCAATCAGTAAGTCAAAATTTTGGAATAGTAACCTAAAATTTTTACATTGTTTTCCCCCAGTGGAAGAACCAGGCTTCCACATTTGCTTTGCATATCTACTTGCCAAGCTGCAGTAAAACTTGCAAAAGAGGAACCATAAATGTAGAAACCATAATCATCACCTTCAAAGTAAAAGTTATGCCTTAGTGCTATTGTCAACACAGTTAAAAAGGTGCAGCTTTTACTTTGAAGGCAAACATTCTATAGTTTGTATGCATGTTAATAGTTTCTCTTCCACTTGATATTAAGTACCTAAGATTAAGTTTAGAGGGTTTATTCATGATACAAATTATATAGGTCATTTCCTTATTGATAGTGAAGGTAAAATATATAACCGACTATTAAACAAAGTGCAATACCTAACACATCTAAATAATAGAAGAAGAACATTCTGGAAAAGTTACAAATGAACTTTGGATAAAATTTGGTATTAGTTATGCTGAAATAAAGAAGATTTAATAACTTTAATACTTAATAATAATTGCTGTAAAAGTAGAAAAAATTTACGTTTATCATCTTGTCTACATCTGCCACCTCTTCTTCGGGCTTGTAACCTCTCTTTTTTGCTGTTCACACTGCTCCTCTTCATCATTGTGCAGGTTTTCACCTTCTCAGGTCTGATCTTCATGCCTGAAACCCGTTTGACATTTCTGCTCTGTTCTGGATTTCACTCTTTATTTGCTCAGATTAGCTGCCCAAACTCTGGACTCTCTGCGCAGTTCAGCTATTGTTCTGAGTCTGAAGCACGAAGAAAGACAAATCTCCATTTTGATCCCTTTCATCTCTGACTGGGATTTAGGTTCTTGTCAAACCAGCCAACTCAAAGAAAACTAACCTCAAATTAGCTCTCTTTGGAACTGAAAACCTCAAAGTTCTCTCATCTTATGGTTAACAAACTGAGTTTTAACTAAAACTTCCTGGTTAAAGCTGGCAACCATGTGACTTTGACTCCGTGTCTTTGCAGGTGGTGGATGCTGATGGCAATGATGTCACTCCCCGCCCCCTGGTTTGCCCAGTGCCAGGTTTCCAAAAGTCTCTGGATGAACTCTTTTCCAGCATCCCTAAACTTTCCAGAAGGTACTAGATGGTCACATTGGATATAGTTTTGTAATATCTTTAATTTGTTGCCATTTTTACATTTATCTTTTCAATTCAGTTCAGTTTCAGATAGTTTCCTGAGTGATTTTGTTTTTCATTCTCTAATTATGATGAAGGTGGTATTTTCCATATGCAGATATTACATGATTAGAGTGGTTTAGAAAGTTAGCTTTTTATAGCACATGCAGTAAGACTTGTAGAAATCCCAGTCTCAACACACGTTTACATCAGTTCCTCCTCATGGTGATTCAGTAAATACTATCGTAGTTCTTATAAGACTTTAAACATTTAAAGAGATAGGAACATACAATTTTATGTGGTTGCATTTATGTGGGCTAAATATGGAAGCCCGTTTC